AATGATCAGCGAAGGTGGTGCGGTAACAGAAATTAGGGTTTGGTGATGGGTAAAGGGAAAGGTATAACTACCCCTTGGGGTAGAGGGGAGCTCTTCAAGCGAGAGAGAAAAAGAGGAGACTCAGAGAGCTCCTCGGATGGATTTGGAAGTTTAAGTCCCACTCTATTTGATCGTAAGCTTTCTGCATGTCTAGCTTAAGAACAACTTGGGATTTTCTTTTTCTCTCTCTAGTTCTCAACTGATGAAGAACCTTCTGCAGAATCAGGATATTGTCTTGAATTTGTCTTCCACTAACGAATGCACTCTGCTCTACCGCAATTAGATTGGGTAGCCATGGTTTCAACCAATTCGTCATAACTTTCGAGATGATTTTGTAGATGAAATTACATAAACTGATAGGACAGAACTGTTCCAGCTTTTCTGGGTTAGGGAATTTTGGGATGAGGGTGATCAATGTTCTGTTCACATTGGGATTGAAGTAGCCAGTCTCAAAGAATTGTTGTACCTCCCTGTGAATATCCTGTCGAATGTCCTGCCAGTGGTGCCGGTAGAATAATCCGTTCAGTCCATCTGGTCCAGGAGCCTTAGTGGCTCCCAATTGGTGGGCAGCAGCCAAGATTTCCTCTATTGTGATAGGTTCTGTCAACATCTGATTCATATTTTCACCTACCAGGCACGGGTATTGGTCAAATATGGGCCGAAAGTTCCTGGGTCCCACTGACTGGTAAAGGTTGGTGAAATAACTCTCTGTCATCACCTTTAACTGCTTCTCACTTCTCATCCAATCCCCTTCTGAATTTTTTAGCATGGTGATCCTATTCCAGATTCTTCTTTCTATGGTTGTTGCATTGAAAAACTTTGTATTCCTATCAGCCCATTTAAGCCAACTGATTCTAGATCGCATGCCCCAGTACATCTCCTCTTGCCTCCACAGAAATTCAATTTCTTTGTTCAAATTCTGCGCTTTCTCCCTTTCATTTTGCAACTCAGTGCTGTTCATTAAGGCTTGTAGTTCATTTTTCAGCCCAGATATTTTTCTTTGTGCATTGGAGAATCTATTCTTGCTCCAATCAGCCAGCCTCTTTGACACTAATTGTAATTTTTCCAGTACGTTCATCCGCTGGGATTCATGGGACGTCCAGGCTGTCTTGACTATTTGAGCACATTCTTCATCCTCTGACCAAAAAGCTTCATATTTGAACTCCTTTCTATGCGCAATCTTCGGAAATAATGATAAGAGGAGTGGGCTATGGTCGAGCCAATGGCTGGCAATGCAAAACTTTCTGCATTTGGGAAGGATACCCTCCACTCCATAGTACATAGGACTCTATCGAGTCTTTCCTCAACATAGGCATCACCTCCCCTTTTGTTTGCCCTTGTATACGCACAACCCTTGCACTCCATATCCATTAAGGAACAGGCATTTAAGAAGTCTCTAAAAGCTGAGAGTCTATAATATTCTGCCATCCTCCTACCCACTTTCTCCCAATGAGAAAGGATTTCATTAAAATCTCCCATACAAATCCAAGGCAAATGATTTGACAGACTTGTTCTATGGATATCCTCCCACAGCAGAACTCTCTTCAAACTCATTAGGAGCATGCAAAAAGGTGATTCTCATATGCTGCCTGCTCTATTGGACTTCACACTAAACATTAATGAAAGCTTCAGAATTCGACTCAATCGTTAAAACTACCTGTTCATCCCAGAAAATAGCCATGCCCCCTGCAATACCCACTGGATTCACCACAAAACTGCTCTGAAATTTTAGTTGCCGCTTCAACCGCTGTACAACTTGTTCCTGGTTCTTTGTTTCCATTAAAAACACTATACTGGGCCTCTCTTGAGTCACGGGGACTCTTAGTGCTTGAATTGTTAGGGATGTGCCCAACCCCTGACAATTCCAACTCAATAGCTTCATAAGTATCTCGAAGACTTATTAGGGCTAGCCACCAAAGCCCACTGGGTTGAACCCTCCTCTACTGCAATGGGGATTTCCAAAAGCTGAGTTTCATCACCCTCAATGTTTGCTCTCTTTGAAACAGGAGCAAGGGAAAAAGGAACAAAGCCCAAGCTCACCTCAAAAGATCCGAGCTAGTGGGAGTGAAGCAGAAGAGAGTGAGGCCAAACTGTGAACCCCGCATTCTGTCTTTTGCCAAATCATCTGAAATATCTCTTGTATCTTGAACAGACACAGGCTGAAGGCTCAAATCAAATGGAATTAGGCTGGAGAAGAATGGTGCGCAGGGCATGGAAGAGGTTGTGGCTATGGGACCGATAAAGAGGAGGAGAGGGATGGTGTGAAAGGAGGAAAAACTTAAATGATTGAGAAGGAAGCTCGCATGATAACAAAAGTCCCAGCACCAGCAAAGTGCGATGCGGGGAAACGGAGCGGCAATGCCGGGAATGGTAGGGCTGCAGTGATGAAACAGTGAGGATTGCAATGGGATGAGAGAGGAAAAATAAATGGGGGTTTTCGTGGGTTAGGGTTTCAGAGAATAGAAGTAATCGAAGGAAACCAATGCAAAAGAGGATTCAAGGAGGGGGATTAGGGGTTTTGGTAGGGTTTTGGTTAGGGTTTGAGGTTAAAGAAGCCATAGCTACACATTCGGTAGAGAAGAACTACACGTACGGTAGAGAGAGAGAGAGAGAGCCTCACTAGGGAAGGCAGAAGGATAACCTATGTCAATTTAAGAAGCTAAACATCCAATCACGTTTTCTTGGTGCCGATTTTTCTTGATATCCGACGCTGGCCAAACCAGGAAAAATCAAACTTCAATTGGGTGGGATATGACGAGCTTTGGGAATTCGAATATGAGCTAGTCAATGATGAAAATAGAAATAGTTAATGAGTGCCCAAATCCAAAGGGTGGTTTAGCGTTAGGACGACTGAGATATTGCTCTTCAAAAAGAATGGGTTTTATGCTTGGTCCACACTTGTTGCAATCGCTGGAGCCAATATTGAATTGGAGATGGATTCGGTTTTCACGTGAGGGCCCATTTTCAATTGGATTGGAGATGGATTTAGTGAATGGATGAAAATGTTGCTGAAAATATTACATGATCTCTGCAAAAATAAAGTACCTTTCGATCACTCGTTAAAGCTCGATAACTAATTGAAAACGAAAATTTTCGATCGATGATGGTTGTTCTTTTCTTAGTGTGTGCTTGGGTCTACTTAAGTGTTCACATTAGTTTAGTAATCTTGACTAGTGTAACATGATTACTGTTAAGAAATTCAAGTGAATAATGTTTGAATTTTATTGGTGGGTCTGTAATGGGAATGCAACTGCTGGGCTGACTTCCTCGGTAGATATAAGGTAATTTATCATTGTCCCAATTTTCTTTCTGTTTTCCCCACTAAGTAGTGTCATCTTGCACGAAGTCACGACCATGTGCAAGATTGTCTCTTTGAATGAATGTCCAACGATGACCAAGATTGATTTCCAAGTGGTATCTGGAATATTTGTCAACAAGTACTTAAAAAGAGAGGTGTAATCGAGTTTAGTCGAATCGCTATAGTCTAATGTTTGAATGGGACAGGACTCGAAAATTCAAAGACTGAATACTTGATTCAAGCTCAATCTCGATGATGCTCAATTTTTCCGGATTGGGTTCGACTTATGAAGTGTTTTTACAAGCTGAAAATGACTCATTTGATTTAACTTGATTATCATAAATGAGTTTTTGCCGAAGCTTGATTCAATCTTGAGCTCAAATTCAACTTTAGTAAAATCCCATCCTTTGGGGCTTGAGCTTGACTCAGTCTTGCTCCTCAACTTGTAAACAATTTAAGCGAGCTCGAGTAACACCCCTTCTCTCCTCTCTCGCTCTCCTACCCTTCTCTTCTACATTTTACTTTCCTTTCTTTCTAGAATAAAATTAGTTTTCTTTTAATTTTGACATTATTGACTTTTACCTTTTTCTTACTAATAAAATAATAATATATCATCTTAGCATACCAAATCGACATAGTAAGAGTTGTTTAGAAGGACCTGATTGAGAATGGGGTAGAGTTAGAGGAGTTGATTCCAAAATATCCAATTGCACATGATCATAGATTAGGGGATAGAAAGTGAACTTAATTTTTCTAAATTTTTTTTCTAGTAGCAATGGAACGTGGGGCACACAAAAATTTAACTATATTAAAAAACCCTAAATTATTGATAATGAGAATAGAAAAATATGTCGGTAAAGTTCCAGCATTATAATATAATCTTCATTTTTTGAAAACAAAAAAGTGCCAATTTTCATTTTAAATTCCGACGTCATATTTTGTAACATAACATTTTTGAAAAATAAGGGTGTCTCTCTTCTTTTTTTTTCCTATACATCACTCCTTACTCCTTTCTCAACTTTCTTTACACAAAGATTTCATTTTTTCCAATTGGTCATTTTAATCTTTTTAACGTTTTGTAATCTCTTGGTGAACAACTCACACATACTATGGGCCTACTATTTAAGTTCAATATTTTCTTTCTTGGGTAAGTACACTAAAAGTACTAAACTTGTAAACAAAATGCAATCAAATGATAAAAAAGTAAAAAAGTACGATCAGATCCTAATATTTGTGCAAAAAAATTTTGCGAAGTACTTCCATTAATTAGGATGAGATTAACCTATTGAAAGTTCCAACACTTGGTTATACTTTTGCTATAAGAATTAGGACTTATGATAAGCCTAATCCTTGATATTACTTAGTTTTCTAATTTGGCAGATAAATAATGTTGCAAAATAAACTTTTCAGATCCGAACTTAGGAGCCTTCAACTAGTTTCGAATAGCATTATGGCTTTAGGTTTAGACTTTACCTATTCAAAAGCATTCCATCTTAGTTTAAAACAATCTTCACTGAAGAATATTCTTCATTGCAAATTTTTCAATTCAAATCTCTGAGAAAATGGTGATATAGTTCTCTCATATTCTGATTTCTACGCTAGACGCAGACCCATTTTTTTCTCCCGAGTGGTAAGCAAGAGTTCTATTGATCAATAAACAGACTTGAATCTAAGTGGAAAGAATGAAAACACTCCTTTTCAAGTTTAATAACTGAATCTTAGTGGAAATCTTCACGGACGTGAGTGTTTGAATAACACTTTATCCCAAAATCGATAGTAAGCAACCCTCCATGATTGGATAAACACTAACGGACCACAAAATATCCAGAAGCCAACAACGAATCCAAGCGGTATGCCCAGGTAAAACCACTTCTTCTCGCTATCACCATCGTCACCATCGTCACCAGCTTCTTCCGTCCCATTCGTGGTAATTGAGCAACTTTTGTTAAGCTGAAGCCCGCACAATCCGAGGTTTTTTGCGAAAGAACTTTCAGAAAACGTGAGGAACTGTCCGCTAGCCGGGATGCTTCCCACAAGTTGATTGTTTGAAAGGTTCAGGAATGAAAGGAAATGAAGATTTGCAAGTTGAGTTGGTATGGTTCTATTGAGGTAGTTCCATGATAGGTCCAACGACTCGAGCTGATGCAGATTCCCCAAAACAGGAGGAATTGAACCCGAGATGGCATTATGCGATAAATTGAGGAAATGAAGTGCTTTTAGATCCCCAAGTGTGTCGGGTATTGGACCCTCCAGTCTATTGCCCGAGAAGTCAATTGACGTAAAAATAGTTAGAATCTTGACGAGTTCTAGCTCCAGACCTTTGAAGGTTACAATCAATGTATCTTCATAATAGAACCCACTCCGGTTGGCATATGGATGCAGGTAATTGAACTCTACGTTGGCCTTCATAGCCTCCCAAGATGCGAGGAGACTCGCAGACAGCATGCTGCCAAAATCGTTCGAAGACAAGTCAACGATTTGAAGCTTCTGCCAAGTGTTGGGACCATGCGGACATCCAATTTCCCCATGCAATTTGTTGGATCGTAAAACAAGTACATGGAGACTTGACAAAGCCTTGAAATGGCATGGAAATGTCCCGTTAATTTTATTGTCCCCGATGTTCACAACCTCCAACATTGTGCAATTTGCCAAAGACAACGGAATTTGCCCCTGCAACAAATTCTCACTGAAATCCAATGTCTGCAGATCGCATGTTCTCGAGATGTTTTGCGGAATAGTGCCACTCAACTGGTTATTCCTCAAATTCAATACCTTGAGGGATGCCATCATTAAACAATCAGGAATAGTTCCATTCAAATTGTTACCTGATAAGTCGAGCACTTCAAGTTGATCACATTTGCAAATTGACTTCGAGATGGACCCATGGAAATTATTCTTAGAAAGGGAGAAGAACATCAATGATGATAGGTAGTCACCAATGTTATCCGGAATAACAGAAGTGATCTTGTTACTTGAGAAATCCAAGTAGCCAGCCTGTGACAGCAGGGGTGGCATATTTCCTCGGAGCATGTTTGAATGGAGGTCGACGACAGACAGAGCAGAAGTAAGATTGCGTGGAGCAGTTTCCAAATCTTCAAAGCAATTCGAGGAAAGATTGAGATATGAAAGATGTTCTAGCGTCCATATCCATCTCGGTATCTCCCCTTGAATTATATTTTGGGAGAGGTCAAGGAAGATGAAATTGGACTGGTTAGCCAAAAACTGAGGCAACGTCCGCAACTGGCAGGAAGCCAACATTAACCAAGAAAATTCAGGGAAAGAGGATGCAGAAGCAGACGTTGTAGTATTAATGGACAAGCCACTGTACGATAGATTAAGAGAAGTCAAATTTCCTAATCCCTGAAGCGCGGCAATGTTCATTGAGCCATTGAAATTATTGGAAGAAAGTGAGAGGTAATCAAGCCCTTGCAATTCAAATAAGGATGTTGGAATTGACCCTTGTAACTGATTGCTACCCAAATCAAGCATGCGCAGTTGATATGAAGAGACATTCGGATATATGATAAGCTGACCACTAAATCTATTGTGTGAAAGATCTATCGTCGTAAGTCGAGGAAGTGTAAACAGAACTGGAGGAATGTCGCCTTCCAATGAATTGCTTGATAAGTCCAAATAAGTCAGCTCTGACAGGTTCTCCATTGAACTCGGGATGGATCCACTCAAATTGCAATCGGGTAGTTTCAATGACCACAATTTTCTGAGATTACCGATTGAATCTGGAAGCCTCCCTGAAATATTCGTTTGACGTAGGTACATAGTCTCAAGAGAACTATCCTCCGGAAAATCGGGCAAAGAACCCTGAAGACGTTGGTTCGATGATAGATCAAGGGTCTGAAGTGTTTGTACCTGGAAGATTTTTTGAGGAAACTCTCCATACAAACCACAAGAACCTAGGCTCAGAGTTTTCAAGCTGGAAAAATTCGCCAAGAAACTAGGAACTGTGGTGATCAAGTTATTGCCATCGAGTTGAATGACCGACAGATTAGCAAGACTCGTAAGGGAAGCATCAATAGGACCAGACAGAGAACAGCCAGACATGCTCAACACCTCAAGTTTCGGCACTGAAGAAGACACTGCGTCGGACCAGTCACTTCCCTCAGCAGACACATTGACCCAATCAAGGTTCAACTCCCTCAACTCCCCCAAATCCCCAATTAGCGACCTAAAATTGGGCTTCTCAAGTTTCAGCAAGTTATCACCTCCGAGATCAAGAGTACGTAGCTTTGTCAGGCGCGATAGTTCCGCCGGAATCTGCCCGGCGAATCTGGCATGGGACAAGTCGAGATTTTCCAAGTGGCCGAGATTCCCGAGGCCCGATGGAATCGCCGTGGAGTTGAAGTCGTTGCCAGCCAAGTTCAGGCTATGAAGGAACTCGAGCCTGAAGAGACCCGACGAAACGTCGATTCCGCCAGAGATTGACTCAAAGCTCAGATCAAGACCGACGATGAGGCCATCCTCGCACGTTACGCCGCTCCATGAATCGGCGCTTTGGTCCCACTGTACTAGCTTGGATGACCTGGAGGTGTCGAAGACAAGGCTATTTCTCAGCTCGAGCAAGAGCGATCTCTGGCCGACGCCGGGACACCGGGCTGAAGCTGAAGCCCCAGCAACGTCGGAGAAGATGGAGATTGTGGATATCGCAAGAACAAGCCATGAGATGAGTGAACCGTTCATCGGAAGAGGTTGAAGAAGAAGAGCACTGGAAGAAGGCACAGGGAAGAGGAGAAACGAAACTAAGTCGACACTTATATGATTAGTCAATAAATATGACTCATCTCACTTTCGAAATTATTAGCAAAATCCCGCAATTTTTCGCAACAAAATTACATCCGTTATTTAATATAATTTTTCAATCCAAAACAAACAAAGAACATATCTTTATTTTCTATGTGACGCGGAAAAACAAAAAGTCTGCCTAAAATGTGGAGATTCGAACTTGAAATCCCATTTGAAAATGCTTTTGGCTTTCTTATTTTACATCATAAAACAAATGACATTTTACGAATCAATTTTTTCTTTGCGCATACATGAACGATGTAGAAATTGGCGCATACATGAACGATGTAGAAATTGGTTAGACGTAAATAGATACCTAGCTTTTCACACTAACATCAAAATGCATCTATCATATCCTATTTTTTTTTCATTAAATAAGTAGATTCAAGAAAAGAAATAAAATAATTTATTAACGTTTGAATGCAACTTAATTACAGAGTTTGTTAGTAACACATAGGAGGAGGACTTGTGTCCTTATTGGAAGGCAGATGAACAAGAGCTTCTTTGGATGGGATTTCAATGGGGTCGTGCTTGGTCTCATTCATATCACATCCTATCATAAATTTTTTGGTCCCCATGCGTGACTATCTTAAGTTGACTTGACTCTTGCTAGGTTTTAGTGGTTCTATGACTCTGGATGCAAATTCTTTAATGATTTTGCTAAGGATGTCATGTTCGATATTGGCTTGAGTTACTTGACCGAGTAATTTGGGCAAGTGGTGAGATACCACCAAAATAAATGGCGTGTGAAATGGACAAGGATCAAGTGGGAGGACTTTGGCAGCCCTTGGTCCTTCCTTACGGCAACTGCTGCTTTCACTGTATGTCGTTACCCTCGTTAACGTCTTTGTTCGCCTTGACGAGGGAATGCAAAATTGTCGTTTCAATGGTGCTTCCCAATGTGCTGATTTCTAAAATTCTATCTATGACAAAAACAGAATTTCTTCTGTGCGCGTCAAATACATAACGTCTGTACCGAAATTCAATTGAACCATGTAAACCTTTTGTTCTCGTTCTTTGTTGATTTCTCTGGTAAACTTCAATCAAGGGTAATTTTTCATTAAACAAGTAGATTCAAGAAAAGAAATAAAATAATTTATTAACGTTTGAATGCAACTTCATTACAGAGTTTGTTAGTAGCACATAGGAGGAGGACTTGTGTTCTTATTGGAAGGCAGATGAACAAGAGCTTCCTTGGATGGGATTTCAATGGGGCCATGCTTGGTCTCATTCACATCACATCCTATCATAAATTTTTTGGTCCCCATGCGTGACTATCTTAAGTTGACTTGACTCGTGCTAGGTTTTAGTGGCTATATGACTCTCGATGCAAATTCTTCAATGATCTTGCTAAGGATGTCATGTTCGATATTGGCTTGAGTTACTTGACCGAGTAATTCGGGCGAGTGGTGAGATACCACCAAAATAAATGGCGTGTGAAATGGACAAGGATCAAGTGGGAGGACTTTGGCAGCCCTTGGTCCTTCCTTACGGCAACTGCTGCTTTCACTGTTTGTTGTTACCCTCGTTAACGTCTTTGTTCGCCTTTACTTGAGAATGCAAAATTGTCGTTTCAATGGTGCTTCCCAATGTGCTGATTTCTAAAATTCTATCTATGACAAAAACAGAATTTCTTCTGGGCGCGTCAAATACGTAACGTCTGTACCGAAATTCAATTGAACCATGTAAACCTTTTGTTCTCGTTCTTTGTTGATTTCTCTGGTAAGCTTCAATCAAGGGTAATTTTTCATTAAATAAGTAGATTCAAGAAAAGAAATAAAATAATTTATTAACGTTTGAATGCGACTTCATTACAGAGTTCGTTAGTAACACATAGGAGGAGGACTTGTGTTCTTATTGGAAGGTAGATGACCAAGAGCTTCCTTGGATGGGATTTCAATGGGGCCATGCTTGGTCTCATTCACATCACATCCTATCATAAAGTTTTTGGTCCCCATGCGTGACTATCTTAAGTTGACTTGACTCGTGCTAGGTTTTAGTGGTTATATGACTCTGGATGCAAATTCTTCAATGATCTTGCTAAGGATGTCATGTTCGATATTGGCTTGAGTTACTTGACCGAGTAATTCGGGCGAGTGGTGAGATACCACCGGAATAAATGGCGCGTGAAATGGACAAAGATCAAGTGGGAGGACTTTGGCGGCCCTTGGTCCTTCCTTACGGCAACTGCTGCTTTCACTGTTTGTCGTTACCCTCGTTAACGTCTTTGTTCGCCTTGACTAGGGAATGCAAAATTGTCGTTTCAATGGTGCTTCCCAATGTGCTGATTTCTAAAATTCTATCTATGACAAATACAGAATTTCTTCTGTGCGCATCAAATACGTAACGTCTGTACCGAAATTCAATTGAACCATGTAAACCTTTTGTTCTCGTTCTTTGTTGATTTCTCTGGTAAGCTTCAATCAAGGGTAATTTTTCATTAAATAAGTAGATTCAAGAAAAGAAATAAAATAATTTATTAACGTTTGAATGCAACTTAATTACAGAGTTTGTTAGTAACACATAGGAGGAGGACTTGTGTTCTTATTGGAAGGCAGATGAACAAGAGCTTCCTTGGATGGGATTTCAATGGGGCCGTGGTTGGTCTCATTCACATCACATCCTATCATAAATTTTTTGGTCCCCATGCATGACTATCTTAAGTTGACTTGACTCGTGCTAGGTTTTCGTGGTTCTATGACTCTAGATGCAAATTCTTCAATGATCTTGCTAAGGATGTCATGTTCAATATTGGCTTGAGTTACTTGACCGAGTAATTCGGGCGAGTGGTGAGATACCACCGGAATAAATGGCGCGTGAACTGGACAAGGATCAAGTGGGAGGACTTTGGCAGCCTTTGGTCTTTCCTTACGGCAACTGCTGCTTTCACTGTTTGTTGTTACCCTCGTTAACGTCTTTGTTCGCCTTGACTAGAGAATGCAAAATTGTCGTTTCAATGGTGCTTCCATGGGCTGATTTCTAAAATTCTATCTATGACAAAAACGGAATTTCTTCTGTGCGCGTCAAATACGTAACGTCTGTACCGAAATTCAATTGAACCATGTAAACCTTTTGTTCTCGTTCTTTGTTGATTTCTCTGGTAAGCTTCAATCAAGGGTAATTTTTCATTAAATAAGTAGATTCAAGAAAAGAAATAAAATAATTTATTAACGTTTGAATGCAACTTCATTACAGAGTTTGTTAGTAACACATAGGAGGAGGACTTGTGTTCTTATTGGAAGGCAGATGAACAAGAGCTTCCTTGGATGGGATTTCAATGGGGTCGTGCTTGGTCTCATTCGCATCACATCCTATCATAAATTTTTTGGTCCCCATGCGTGACTATCTTAAGTTAACTTGACTCGTGCTAGGTTTTAGTGGTTATATGACTCTGGGTGCAAATTCTTCAATGATCTTGCTAAGGATGTCATGTTCGATATTGGCTTGAGTTACTTGACTGAGTAATTCGGGCGAGTGGTGAGATACCACCAAAATAAATGGCGCGTGAAATGGACAAGGATCAAGTGGGAGGATTTTGGCGGCACTTGGTCCTTCCTTACGGCAACTGCTGCTTTCACTGTTTGTCGTTACCCTTGTTAACGTCTTTGTTCGCCTTGACGAGGGAATGCAAAATTGTCGTTTCAATGGTGCTTCCCAATGTGCTGATTTCTAAAATTCTATCTATGACAAAAACGGAATTTCTTCTGTGCGCGTCAAATACGTAACGTCTGTACCGAAATTCAATTGAACCATGTAAAGCTTTTGTTCTCATTCTTTGTTGATTTCTCTGGTAAGCTTCAATCAAGGGTAATTTTTCATTAAATAAGTAGATTCAAGAAAAGAAATAAAATAATTTATTAACGTTTGAATGCGACTTCATTACAGAGTTTGTTAGTAACACATAGGAGGAGGACTTGTGTTCTTATTGGAAGGCAGATGAACAAGAGCTTCCTTGGATGGGATTTCAATGGGGCCATGCTTGGTCTCATTCACATCACATCCTATCATAAATTTTTTGGTCCCCATGCGTGACTATCTTAAGTTGACTTGACTCGTGCTAGGTTTTAGTGGTTATATGACTGTGGATGTAAATTCTTCAATGATCTTGCTAAGGATGTCATGTTCGATATTGGCTTGAGTTACTTGACCGAGTAATTCGGGCGAGTGGTGAGATACCACCGGAATAAATGGCGCGTGAAATGGACAAGGATCAAGTGGGAGGACTTTGGCGGCCCTTGGTCCTTCCTTACGGCAACTGCTGCTTTCACTGTTTGTCGTTACCCTCGTTAACGTCTTTGTTCGCCTTGACTAGGGAATGCAAAATTGTCGTTTCAATGGTGCTTCCCAATGTGCTGATTTCTAAAATTCTATCTATGACAAATACAGAATTTCTTTTGTGCGCATCAAATACGTAACGTCTGTACCGAAATTCAATTGAACCATGTAAACCTTTTGTTCTCGTTCTTTGTTGATTTCTCTGGTAAGCTTCAATCAAGGGTAATTTTTCATTAAATAAGTAGATTCAAGAAAAGAAATAAAATAATTTATTAACGTTTGAATGCAACTTCATTACAGAGTTTGTTAGTAACACATAGGAGGAGGACTTGTGTTCTTATTGGAAGGTAGATGAACAAGAGCTTCCTTGGATGGGATTTCAATGGGGCCGTGCTTGGTCGCATTCACATCACATCCTATCATAAAATTTTTGGTCCCCATGCATGACTATCTTAAGTTGACTTGACTCGTGCTAGGTTTTAGTGGTTCTATGACTCTAGATGCAAATTCTTCAATGATCTTGCTAAGGATGTCATGTTCGATATTGGCTTGAGTTACTTGACCGAGTAATTCGGGCGAGTGGTGAGATACCACCGGAATAAATGGCGCGTGAAATGGACAAGGATCAAGTGGGAGGACTTTGGCAGCCCTTGGTCTTTCCTTACGGCAACTGCTGCTTTCACTGTTTTTCGTTACCCTCGTTAACGTCTTTGTTCGCCTTGACTAGAGAATGCAAAATTGTCGTTTCAATGGTGCTTCCATGGGCTGATTTCTAAAATTCTATCTA